GGACAGAGCAAGACTCTATCTCAAAAAAAAAATACATCATGAGTTTATACTTCATCATTTTAATTCAGAAACATCCTACACTAGAAAATGAGTAGAGAAATAAACAGAATCCAGATATGTGTATGCATTTTGAAGAATTACATTATTACTATGAAACATTTTATTGCATTTTGTTCTCCTTTCAGGTAAACAATCTATTGTTGGAGTTTCTTTACTTGCTAGAATATTAATATTAACCTTCTAGCTAATAACAATGGTATTACTTTTAAATATACGCCTGTTTTTGAACTCATTACCAGGATACATTTCAGTCCTCTTTGAAAACAGCTTCTTTCTTGTCCTGAATAACCCATCATTGACCAGGTCTATATCTTAAAGAGTGCTAGGTTCGAGACTGGGCATGGTGGTTCATGCCTGTAATCCCGGCACTTTGGGAGGCTGAGGCGGGCGGATCACGAGGTTAGGAATTTGAGACCAGCCTGGCCAACATGGTGAAAGCCTGTCTCTACTAAAAATACAGAAATTAGCTGGGCAAGGAGGGAGGCACCTGTAATTTCAGATACTTAGGAAGCTGAGGCAGGAGAATCGTTTGAACCCAGGAGGTGGAGGTTGCAGTGAGCTGAGATAGCGCCATTGCACTCCAACCTGGGCAACAGGGCGAGACTCATCTCAAAAAAAAAAAAAAAAAAAAAAGAGTGCTAGGTTTGAGCTGTCCTGTTGTCCTTGAACTGACAAACAATGGCAATGGGGATCATAAGTGAAATGGCTTGTATAGAGGCCCAGAGGAATGAAAGAGTTTGCATATCTGAAGAACAGCTATTCTAAGTATGAGTTATTTGAAGGGGTGGCCAGAGATAAGATATAGGGAGTAGGTGGGGGCTAGGTCACAAACAATTCAGCATGTCATGCTAAGGAACTGTTATTTTTATCCTACAGGAAATTTCCTAAGAATTTTAATATGGAAGTATCTTGATTAGAATTGCAAATTCAAAAGGCTTTTGTAGCCACATGAAGAATAAACTGAGATAGGGAAGCAGTAAGCAGGCTATTGCAGGACATGAGAAGCTGGATGGATTTGGGAGTTATTTGGCAGGTCAAATAATTAGGAATTAGTGATCAATTGGATATAGGCGGAAGTGAAAGAATAGAGTCCAGGATTGACCTTAGGTTTCCTTCAGTTTGAATTAGTGAATGTAGAATGTAGAAGGAGCAGTCTGGGTTGGTGGCATGTGAGTGTGGCTTAAGTGGGATAAGTTCTGCTTAGGGATTGTCAGCTTGCATTACCTTGGACTTTCTGGTAGAGATGTCCGTACATGCACAAATATATATAAACATAAGGACCCAGACTTGGGTTCAAATCCCAGCTCTGTTACTTCCTATCTGTGCGACCTTGGGTAGGTTAGTTAACCTTTTCATGTCTCATTATAGTTGTAAAAAGGGGATAATGGCACATAATTCATAAGGTTGTTGTGTGAATTAAACAATCTAATTGACAAAAGTCTAACAGAGTGTCTAATACACAATAACTTGATAAATGTTGTCATTGCTATTCTAGATATGGGGATGCCAGTATCTCGTTTAGAGCCACGGAAGGGATGAGATTCATTAGAGAGATGAGAATGAGAAGAGAGGGGACCAAATATGGACTGTTGGGGTATGTCAACAGTTGAACCTCAGAAACTCAGTTGCCAGGACTTCTCCATTCTGTCCTCTACCCTTAATAGGTTATTTCAGATATCACTGGAGGAAGTAGAGGTTTATTTCTGTCTTATAGCCAATTGTAACAAGTGTCGTTTTTATTTTCAGGCTTATATATTCACATTCATTCATTTATTCAACATGCTTTTGCTAAGTTACTAGTAGACGTTATTCTAGGTGCTAAAGATATTGCAGAGAACAGTCATCTCGGTCACAGGCCTCAGAATACCAACAATCTAGAGGAGAGAGAGGTAGCCATCAAAAAGATAAAAGTATTTGCTAGTGATAAGTATTTTAGAGAGAATGAAAATATGAAATGCTGGAGAATTCCTAGGCATTTATGTTAGATTGGGTGGTAGAGAAAGCTTCTCTGAGAAGGATATAGGACATGAGAGGCTGGATGGATTTGGGAGTTATTTGACAGGTCGAATAATTAGGAAGATTGGTGGGAAGTGCAAAGGTAGTGCAAGGGCCCCTTGGTAGTGCAAAGGCCCCACCATGGGAATAAGCTGTGGAGAACACTAAAAAGACCAGTGGGACCCAAGATAGGGCACTGGGAGAACAGACAAGCTGAGGCCAAAGAGTAGGTGGTAACCAAGTCACATAGGGCCCTCTAAGCCAGGATAAAGAGTGGAGGTTTGTTTTAAGTGACTTGGAAAGTCTCCAGAGAGCTTTAGGCAGGGAAGTAGTACAGTTTTACATTTTCTGTCTTTCTTTCTTTTTTGTTTTTGAGACAGTCTCACTCTGTCATCCAGGCTGGAGTACAGTGGCACTATCTTGGCTCACTGCAACCTCCCCAGGTTCAAGTGATTCTCCTGCCTCAGCCCCCTGAGTAGCTGGGATTACAGGCATGCACCACCACACCCAGCTAATTTTTGTATTTTTAGTAGAGTCAGTCTGGTCTTGAACTCCTGACCTCGTGATCCTCCCACCTTAGCCTCCCAAAGTGCTGGGATTACAGGCATGAGCCATCATGCCCGGCCTTTTGATTTACCTTTTCAAAAGATCACTGTGTGGTCGAGCATGGTGGCTTATGCTTGTAATCCCAGTACTTTGGGAAGCTGAGGTGGGAGGATTGCTTGAGCCCAGGAGTTCAAGACTAGCCTGGGCAACAAAGCAACACCCTATCTCTACAAACAATTTAAAATTAGCTGGATGTGGTGGTGCCCTCCTGTGGTCACAGTTACTTGGGAGGCTGAGGCAGGAGGATTGCTTCAACCCAGGAATTTGAGGCTTCAGTGAGCCAAGACCACACCACTGCATGCCAGCCTGGGTAACAGAGCAAGACCCTGTCTCAGTCAATCAATCAGTCAGTCAGTCAGTCAATCAGTCAATCACAGTAATCACAAGAGTCAAGAATGAGGTAGGGACATTGATCACAATCAGTCAGTCAATCAGTCAGTCACAGTGATCACAAGAGTCAAGAATGAGGTAGGGTATTCATTTGACATACCTCAGGGCAGAAATAGGTGGCTAATGAAATAATCTAGATGAAAGATACTTTATTTTGTTCTCTCTTTTCCTTTTACTACCAAGTGAAAGCGTCATCCTGAGTCTCTTGCTTGGTTGGAAGCCTCACAGCTGTCCTTGAACAGATCCAGGTCGGGAGAATTGTTTGGATAATTTAGGTGCTCCAGGCCTGGAGCAGTGATGACCTAGTGAAGGTACTTAACCTGACTCATAACACAGGGCAGCAGGGATTAATGAATGGGGTTCTAAGATATGAGCATGTGTTGAATTACTTTCTTCTGAGGAGAGTTCATAGCTTCTTAGCAGTTTGTCAAAGGGACCTGTGACCTCCAAAAGGGTAACCATTAACAGGCAGTGCGTTGAGCACTGATGGGAGGTGTCATAGGAATTACAGAGAACAAGAGCACCAATGGTAACTCCCGCTTTCTAAGGCAGAGGTTTGGGAGAGAGGGAAAACACAAAGTTAGACATAATTATGAAGAAAAATGGGGTAGGCTGGCCAGATCATATGGCAGTCAGGAAAAATATTAAGAGATAATAAATCTTTTCCCCTTAGCTTCCTCCCTGTACGTTTTTACTTGGGTCTAGAAATTCACATGTTGCAGTCAGTGTCCATAAATACCACAAGATGGCGAGGTTGCTCCTTAAAATGAATGTGACTTGCTAAGCGGTAAAGAGGGAGGGAGAAAGAGAAAGAAAATGTGTGTTAGGTGTTCCTCTCTGATTTTCCATAACTTCCCTGATTTTTCTTAGCTCTACTTAAATATAAAATACAACTGACATGCATACATTTTTCTTCTTTAATTTAGATTTTGATCATAGTTGTTTTTGGAATTGTAAAGCTAAAAATAAAATTTAGAAGAACTATCTGGATCCCAGGCTTAACATTTTTTCTAGCTCTTTATTAAATTATTAATGAATAATTTTATTCTGTACATCGCCAACAGGGCAATCTTAGCAAAATGTCCATTCTCTGCTTTATTCTGTTTATTTATTCTTGTAAATATTTGTTGATAGTACAGGCAGTCAGTATTTAAATAGTTATGGTAAGTATAAGGTGAAAAGGTGGAATAAATCTTGACTCATTATAGAATATATACGTTTATTATTATTGTCAGCTTCTTCGCTATTATGAATAAGCACAAGGTTTCAACTACAAAATATTTCAATTTTTATGGTTTATTAAACAATATAATTTCAATACTTGAAATGTCTCTTGTCATCATTTGACATACCTCAGGGCAGTTTTCTTTTTGTTATTCTCAACATTTTGTAGAAAAGTTAAGCTAATATAGTATTAATATAGTGATTAATTCATTTTTAGTAACTATATATTTAGCTCTCAATGTAAAATTTGTTTTGCTTGTGTTATCTAATCAAATTAAATTCTCATAAGAAATCTACAAGATAAATGTGATTATTGCTTCTTTACAGATGAAGACATTGAGTCTTAGGGAGATTGAATAAATGTGTTTTAATAGTTGTCAGAGCTATAATTTGAATCTAGATTTTTTTCAATCCCAAAACTCCTCTTTTTCACTATACTTTACTGGTCATAACAAGAGCAACTATTCCTTTTCTCTTTAATAGTAATACTAGAAGTTGTAATTTACAGTAATTAGGATATTCGTGTCTCTCCCTTTTTCTAAGCTGAACAGAAAGATAATTTTTCATGTAGGTCTTTATTTAGAAGAGTCCATTTAGAGCTGCACTGATGGTGAGGGACCTGGTTTTATCCCGTTTGAGGGATTTAGGCTTCTCGCCAGAAGCACCTGATTTTCCAAACCTAGAGTGAACTGAAACTTAATTCCTTTTTGTGACTTCCTGCTAAGATAACAGGTGGTTCACGGTGCACAGGCCTTCCTGCTATTGGCAGCTTCTCTCTATTCCTGGAGAATTGTTTTATGCTGGAGACTACTTGTCGTTTGAAAACCATTGCTTTGAAGACTGGAATCCCGGGCCAGGGTGCCCTTTACAGCAGTATGCTGCCTGCCCTGGAACTCATTCTCTAAAGCTTGGTGGTAATTTATTTCTGTACAGAGAATGTTGACTTACAGTTTATTTCTCTTTATTTACTTCATATTCCATTTTTGCTTTTCTAAAGACTGAGAGAATAATAGTTAAGAATTTATAAGTTTTGTTATTGATATTGGGAGACAAAACTGGAATTTACCTGAATCAAGATGTTTGGATTTTTTCAATATGGTTTTATGTGGCTGGGCACAGTAGCTCATGCCTGTAATCTCAGCACTTTGGGAGGCTGAGGCAGGTGGTTCCCTTGAGCTCAAAAGTTCAGCACCAGCCTGGGAAACATGGTGAAATCCCATCCCTACCTAAAACGCAAAAATTAGCTGGGCGTAGTGGTGCATGCCTGTAGTCCCAGCTACTCGGGAAGCTGAGATGGGAGAATTGCTGGAACACAGTCAGTGAGGTCGCAGTGAGCCCCAGCAGTGCCACTGTACTCCAGTCTGGGTGACAGAATGAGACTCAGTTTCAAAAATAAATACATAAAAATAAAATATGAATTGAAAAAAAGAATGATTTTGTTTTTTCTTCATGTAATAGTTCTAACTGAAAAATAGGCATAGTGGAAATAAGATTGATCATGAATAATTATTGAAGCTGACTGATGGGCTTATTTTATGTATGTGTGTGTGTGTGTGTGTGTGTGTGTGTGTGTATATATATATATATATATATATATATATATATATATATATATTGAGACGGAGTCTTGCTCTGTGACCAAGTTGGAGTGCAGTAGTGCGATCTTAGCTCACTGCAACCTTCGTCCCCCGGGTTGAAGCAATTCTCCTGCCTCAGCCTCCCGAGTAGCTGGGACTACAGGCGTGTGCCACCAGGCCCGGCTAATATTTTCTATTTTTAGTAGAGATAGGGTTTCACCATGTTGATCAGGATGGTCTTGATCTCCTGACCTCATGATCCGCCCGCCTCGGCCTCCCAAAGTGCTGGGATCGTATGCTTGTACCACTGTGCCCGACTGTGGGTTCATTATATATTCTATCTATTTTTATTTGACATTTTCTAAGTTAAAACATAAGCAGAGACATGTTTTAATACCTTTTTTTATCATCATGTTTATATAAAATATATTTTAATTTTTTTTGTTTTAGCAATTAATTCAAGAAAGATATTTTAATTCTTTAATATTGAGTGATAATTTTATCTGTGGAGTTTGTTTTACATACTCTTATTTGTAACAAAGATCATTTCTGGTGGCGAATGCATCTGGGTACGTTAATCGGTGATTTTCAATCACTTCTATAGTTTCCTTTATTTACTTTTTATAGATTATTTATTTTTTTTAAATTTTTACTGTTATTATTTTCTGAGACAAATCTCACTCTGTTGCCTAGGCTGGAGTGCAATGGCACCATCTTGACTCACTGCAAGCTCCACCTCCCAGGCTCAAGTGATTCTCATGTCTTAGCCTCCTGAGTAGCTGGGACTACAGGTGCATGCCACCACATCAGCTAATTTTTGTAATTTTAGTAGCGATGGGGTTTTATCATGTTGGCCAGGCTGGTCTTAGATTCCTGACCTCAAGTGATCTGGCCTCCTTGGTCTCCTAAAATTCTGGGATTATAGGCATGAGCTGCCACATCCAGCCAAAACATTATTTTTATATAAAATATTTTTATATTCATTCCTTACTTCAATAAAGATTATTGAACACTGTTCTAGAGGCTGAGGATACAGCAGTGAACCAAACAGAAAAACATTCTGGAGTGTACACTTTAGTAGGGAGGAGACAAAATAAATCTAACAAATAACTGTTTTACATTTCTGTTATGATAAGCACTGTGGCAACATATATAATGAGGGTGCTCTTTTATAAAGGGTTGAGGGAGAGTCTTCCAGGTGGCTGGAGATACAAGGCTCGCAGGCAACTCTTTCATACCCTAGTGGCACATGGCTAATATTCCTAAAGCAGCACATGCAAGGAATATCATCAGGTAGCTCATGCGTATGGAAAGCTCTTCATTGGGCTACTCTGCTTTTTGGAGACAGATTCATGTAGCTTCTGATACAGCCTTTATTTATTTTTATTTTTTTGAGACGGAGTCTTGCTCTATTGCCTAGGCTAAAGTGCAGTGATGCAATCTTGGCTCAATGCAATCTCTCCCTCCGGGATTCAAGTGATTCTCCTTCCTCAGCCTCCCCAGTTGCTGGGATTACAGGCACCCACCACCATGGCCAGCTATTTTTTGTGTTTTTAGTAGAGATAGGGTTTCACTATGTTGGCCAAGCTGGTCTCAAACTCCTGACCTCAGGTGATCCTCCCATCTTGGCCCCTGAAAGTCCTGGGATTACAGGTGTGAGCCACTGTGCCTGACCTGATACAGTCTTTATAATGTAACAGTAAGCACCAGGACTGAGGGGAGCAGTAAGAAAATCTTTCTTGTGTTCTGTTGATTCTTGCTGATTGCAAAAAAAAAAAAAAAAAAAAGAAAAGGAAAAGAAAGAAAAAAATGTGATACCTGTGATACCTTCTCTACCTTCTCTTTGTAATCTTAAAAATCACTTAGTTGATGTAATTGTTTTATTTAGTCCAAATTTTAAATTGCACCCAGCCTCTGATTTTCTTTAAGAGTAGCCAGGGTAGGCCGCTCATGCCTGTAATCTCAGCACTTTGGGAGGCCAAGGTGGGCAGATCACAAGGTCAGGGGCTCGAGACCAGCCTGGCCAACATGGTGAAACCCTGTCTTTACTAATAATACAAAAATTAGCCAGATGTGGTGGCATGTGCCTGTAGTCCCAGCTACTTGGAAGTCTGAGGCAGAAGAATCGCTTGAAACTGAGAGGCAGAGGTTGCAGGGAGCCAAGATCTTGCCACTGCACTCCAGCCTGGGCAACAGAGTGAGACTCCATCTCAAACAAGCAAATAGAATAGCCAGGGTAGAGCACTGTAATGAATTCTTACTGCTTCTTCAAGGAATAGTATATATCTAATAGTGTCAAAATGCTGCAGGATTTCCGGATAGAAATGGTTTTAACACACTATATTTATTGTACAATGATTTTAGCACACCCTGTGTAGTGCTGAATATATTTATTCTTGTTGTTTTAGGGTATGGTCAGACAGGTCCAATTTCTCAGCGAGCTGGTTATGACACTGTTGCCTCTGCTGTTTCTGGTCTGATGCACATCACGGGGCCCGAGGTAGGTATCCTTCTTTAGAATATTCATAATTTCTTTCCTTACATATTCCAAAGGGATTTTACTTTGCACTAGCCCGTAGGATTAAACGAGTTATTGGGTTGGGGCAAAAGTAGTTGCTGTTTTAGCCATTGAAAGGAATAACTATAGAAGGAAACCAGGGAAAGAGAATGATTTATGAAAGTAAAATGGGAAGGGTTCATTACAAATGTATTAGAGGCTAAATGTCAATTTGGCCACATGGAAAAGAACAGTGTTTTTAGCAAGGATCCATAGATTAGTTGGTGAACACATTTTCCACATTTATTATGTTATTCAAGCTTAATATAGGCAACTTTGTGTGATTTAGGAATATTCCTTCTTTGAAATAAAACAGTTAACTAGACTAGACCAGACCACAGATGTCCATTTCTACTAGAGTGCCTTCATTTGGCATGTATACATAGCAGAGGGTTTCTTAAATTTGTTGCTTAAAGCCTCAGGTTTAAATGTATCTGATTTGTCAGTGTGCATTAGATTCTGACAATGAAATAATTAATTTGATTTTATAATAATTCCTCTCCACTGATAGTGGGTTGGAAAGTTTCTAACAAGTGTTTAGATGGCCAAAACGTACTTGGTTTGATTAAAAGAAAGACTCCTGGGGAAAGCAATATGAATGACATTAAACAAAGTGGAAAAAAAAGTGTGAAAGTCTAATAAATAAAAATGCTTAAAGACATCTATTTCAAAACTAGCAGGATTCATGGCCTTACAAAACTTGTGTTAGTAGGTATTCATTCCCTAAATCACTTCCTCTAGTTAATTCTTCAGGAAATATTGCTTGCTGTAGTGTTGAAATAGACTGAGGCAGAGTGACCTCAAGTCTTTTGCAGTTTTCCTTTTATTTACTTAATTTTACTAATTAATGAATTATTTCCCTTTGTCTCTAATTCCTGATTATGAGATTTACTTTTTATTAATTTCAAAGAGCTGTTGAGGTTTTAATTTCTTGAAATATAAAGTTATTGTACTTTCATATTTGTTTCATTTTCACACATTTAGGAAAAATGTGAGTGGCCTTTGCTTTTGTTTTGTTTATTTTATTATTATTATTTTTTCGATACACAGTCTTACTCTATTGCCCAGACTGGAGTGCAGTGGCATCATCTCGGCTCACTGCAACCTCCATCTTCCGGGTTCAAGTGCTTCTTCTGCCTCAACCTCCCAAGTAGCTGGGATTATAGGCATGTACCACCACCCTTGGCTCATTTTGTATATTTAGTAGAGATGGAGTTTTACCATGTTGCCCAGGCTGGTCTTGAACTCCTGACCTCAGGTGATCCACCCACCTCATCCTTCTGAAGTGCTGGGATTACAGGCGTGAGCCACGGCACCTGGCCTTGTTTTGTTTTTTTGAGACAGGGTCTCAGTCAAGGCTGGAGTGCAGCCTTAATGGCACACTGCAGCCTCCTGGGCTCAATAGATTCTCCAACCTCAGCCTCCCACATAGCTTGGACTACGGGTACGTGGCACCACACCTGACTAATTTTTAAATTTTTTGCAGAGATGCTGTCCTATTATGTTGCCCAGTCTGGTCTTGAACTCCTGGGCCCAAGCCATCTTGGCCTCCCAAAGTGCTGGGATTACAGGCGTGAGCCACTGTGCCCTGCTGGCCTTTCCTTAAAATATTCAAGAGCACCAGTTTTCTTTCCATCTATCGAGAGAATAGAGCATGAACATTTCTCTCATTGCTGAATTCCATAGAGTCTCATATGGCCAAGACATTCTTTATTGTGAATGCTTTTATTTAAGGGTGTTGAACTCAATTAGGAATATGTGAAAAGATCTGGTATTTAAACGTTTGTATATTCAAATGATAAAATGAATTAAATGAAAAACTGCTGAGATGGGTGATTACTGTAGTTCCTTTAGTACATTGTACTGTGACCTAACAGGGATAACCACACAGTATAGCTCAACCTTATAATTTCCCAGTCAATAACAGCTTTTATCTCTTGTATTACCCTACTTGGGTGATTTTTGTTCTAGGTGAGCAAATAACATTTATTGAGTGCTTGGTATGTGCCAAACATTGCTTTATATACTTTCCATGTATTATATTAAGTAAACTTAACTCTCATACTGTATTTCTTTCACATGGACACATCTTTCACTCCTTAATTCAGTTAATCATCCACCTAGTAAGTAGTTACTGCATCTGTTTCCTACTGTATGATGGGAATGGTGGCAGGTGCTGGAGATTCAGCAGGCAACAGGACAGGCACAAGTCCTTACCTTCCTATAGCTATTAAGTGGGGAAAACAAACATTAACAGAAAATATTTATTACACGCAAATAAAAAGAACTCTGAAGAAGTGTACAGGGTGCTATGAACATATATAACAGTGTGCCTCGGGCCATTATTATGCTTCTAAAGAGCTCCACAAAGTGTGGTTTGGCAGCCAAGCGATTGAAAAGAATCAGTCCATGCTGGGAGTCCCGCTTAAGAAAGTTGTTTTCCCTTGTCTTATCGGCAACATATTAATAATTTCCTAAGCCTCTCAGTGGAGATTGTATAGGCAAGATCAATTCTGAAAGCCTTGGCTAATATTTTTAACCAGCCAATGCACATGCACTATTGCTAATTGTGTATATCCATTGTGCATGAACTTTTCTCTAACTGCACAGCCGTGTGCCTGTGCTGTAGCATAACTCCACGTTGTCAGATGACTGATTGGAACCCAGGCTTCTCTCACATCAGGAGGCTTCTCCACATCACCCTACACAGTGGAGCCCAACTTCATCAGGGCTGTTGGTCAGGGAAGGCATCTCTATAGTTAGAGTGGGATCCTGTTAACCATTAGCTAATTAGCATTAGAGAGTAATGCATGGTATTGCATGTCATCTAGATGCTGGAGAGTCTTGTAGTTTTGAAGAGCCCAAAGAAGGGCAGTGTCACTAAATTATTGTGAATTAATAAAGAAGTGGGGCCAAATGTGGTTGGGAAGGTAAGGAACAGTGGCCAAGCTTACTGCTTGTGGATTTAATACATTATTTAATACATTATTATATACAAATTTATTAAATACATTATTTAATACATTATTATATACAAATATATTTTTAGTGATAATCTTATATGTTTCTGCCTGTAAATCAAATGATATTCCAAAGATATAGACTAGTATTACAATGAAAAAACTCAAAATGCATGTTTTTTTGCCCTATAATGTAATAATAATATAATTTTTATACAAAAGGGGGCATATCTAAATGTATAGTATAGGGGCTGGGCACCGTGGCTCACGCCTGTTATCCCAGCACTTTGGGAGGCCAAGGCAGGCAGATCACTTGAGGTCAGGAGTTCAGGATCAGCCTGGCCAACATGGTGAAATCCCGTCTCGACTAAAAATACAAAATTAGCCAGGCATTGTGGCACATGCTTGTAATCCCAGCTACTTAGGAGGCTGAGGCAAGAGAATTGCTTGAACCTGGGAGGCAGAGGTTGCAGTGACCCAAGATTGTGCCACTGCACTCTAGCCTGGGTGTCTAAGAGAGAGACTCTGTTTCCAAAAAAAAGAAAAAAATTATAGGGAAAATTTTATGAAAGCAGTCTTTATCATGTGATTTAAGGTAAACTAATTACTGTTAACTTTTACTAAATCTAAAATTCAGCCTTTTAAGCATGCTATGGTGTTGTCAGATTAGATTATATTTGATTATGGACAAAAGGAGAATATGTTTTGAATATCTACACTATGCCAGATAGATGATAGACATTTTACATATATTATTAGTTCTTTTGATCTTTACATTGATACTTCCAGGTGCGTATTGATGAACTCCCTTTTTCTTTCTTTTTTTTTTTGAGACAGAGTCTCATTCTTTTCGTGCAGGCTGGAGTGCAGTGGCACAATCTCAGCTCATTGCAACATTCACCTCCTGGGTTCAAGTGGTTCTCCTGCCTTAGCTTCCCCAGTAGCTGGGATTATAGGCACATGCCACCATGCCTTACTAATTTTTTTTATTTTTTATTTTTTTTATTTTCAGTAGAGATAGGGTTTCACCATGTTGGGTGGTCTCGAATTCCTGACCTCAAGCAATCCACTCACCTCGGCCTCCCAGAGTGCTGGGATTACAGGCGTGAGCCACCGAGCCTGTCCTTGTATTGATAAATTCTATAACTGAAGCTTAGAGACTTATATAACTTGATATGAGAAGTGAGAAGTGGTAAAGCCAAACTTTGAACCCAGGTTTGCTTTACTTCTGTAGCTTGTACTCTTTTCACTCTCCATGATACTTGCAGAGTGATCCTGATGTCTGTTGTATTTGCATCTTGCTTCTGCAAGATGCTTGATATATGTTACAGTGTGTAAATAGACCATTTGGAAGAGTGGGAGAGCACTCAAATAAAGAATTTGGGGTTCTGGCTCTAATTTACTGCTATCATCTGTTCACTGACTGCCTAAAATGGGCCTTGGTAAGATACAAGCCTCATAGGAAAGACCATGGTTTTTTATTTGGTCACTACTTTATGCATAGAACAGAGTCTTACTAAATAATAAATATATATTGAATAATTGAATGTCTGATACTATATTATGTGATTTTTTTTTTGAGGTAAGGTCTCATTCTGTTGCTCAGGCTGGAGTGCAGTTGTGTAATCATGGCTCACAGCAGCCTCAACCTCCCCACTCAGCCTCCTGAGTAGCTGGGACCAAAGGCATGTGCCACCATGTCTGGATCTATCTATCTCTTTATCTCTCTATATCTATCTATCTATCTATCAATCAGTCATCTCTCTGTCATCTGTTTATCATCATTTTTTACATGCATATAGAATATGAAGAGATTGGGAATGAAATCAATTAGTATGAAAGATTCTGAAAAGTAAATGACCCAGACATATGAGATATGTGTTCTGAGTAACAATTCAACCATAAATCTTGGCACACTTGAATATCAAGAATAAGTATACTGAGCAATCAATGAACAAAGATGTATTGACCATATGTGTAGTG